CACCAGCGCCAGCACCAGCACCAGCACCAGCGCCAGCACCAGCACCAGCACCAGCACCAGCACCAGCACTAGCACCAGCACCAGCACCAGCACCAGCACCAGCACCAGCACCAGCACCACCACCACTACCACCACGATCTTCTTCTGCTTCTTTTCCTTCTTCTTGATTATTGCTGTTGCGGTCGCCGTTTTGCTCGATTTAGGGGCAAAAATTGCCCCTTAGGATTGTGCAAGCTAGACTTGGGCGGAAGCTGTGGACTAGCGTTCGTGCATTGCCAACAGATTTCAGCGCATCTCGTCGTATGCCTGGCGCTGGCAGTCTTTCAAGGCCATGTCAGGACCTCGACGATGTTTTCCCTGAGGATTTTTGCAGCAGAATGCATAAAAAGCCGGCACACACACAAACACCCGTGCCAAGGAACTTCGAGCCGTTGGAAGACGAGGCGGGATATCAGGTGGTTCGCACATGACTTGGAGCCTTCATCGGACACGTGCAGGAGACAGCACACTCACAGCAGGACAACGAGCTCCGGCCTCAGATCCTGGCAGAGCTGTAGAGCTGTAGCTCTCCCCGCCGGCCCCTGCCAAGCCTTTGATTCGGACTGTGCTCAGATGTTCGCCTCTGTAGAACATTGCGCAAGGTCCGACAAGGAATGGTCGAACGTCTCCACCCTGGAGGCTCGGGCTGCGGGGGCACGCAAACATATTTCATCTTGTGGTAAGCTTCCGAAGCTGCTAAGATCTGTAGACCCGTCCATGCAACGAATAGCCTGCTAGCAAAATCCAGATACATCTCCACACAGCCACGGGGCCTACCACCTTGGGCCTGGATGCAGAGTCCACATATACGTATCATCTGCTGGCCCGATGGCCCGCAATCACATGCAGCAGCACTCATCAGACTCCCAATCTCCCACCGAATGTTTTCGTGCAACCAAGGAAGGCGCAGAAACTGACCTCCGGGAAGGCTTAAACGACCAGCGCCTCCGCCACGTGTTGTTGTTGTTGTTGTTGTTGTTGTTGTTGTTAGCTGTTGGAAAGTTGCTCTAGGTCGATATTGAAAGTTCATGATTGCATGTCTTGTGTCTGCCCGGCATGAAGCAGCTGCTGTTCAGTGCATCTCTCCCGACTGCCACTTGCTTTGCCTGCACATCATTATTGGTTTGTTGCGCGGTCCGGCTCTTACAAGCAGACGTCCTGCAGGTCGTGTCTTCTGTTGGAACTCGTCCGTGGCACCGCGGAGTGATATTGTGGGAAAAAGTCGGCTACGCAATCCGTGGTGGTGATGTTGTGTTGCATATAGGAGGCAGGTTGGTAAGGGCTTGGCTGAAATAAACACAGTATGGTCTCAGGAGATACTGAGGGAATGAGAATGTCGAATCTTTCATGCTAGAGTCATCTGCTCATGACAATAGTCGTGAGAGTTGCATGCGACGGGCAACGGAGCGCACTCAAGGTTTTCAAGTAATTCGAAAATTTTCAGCATAGGTTTGGGCTTCAGTTGTGCATCGTGGTTGACGTTTTGGTACCGGGTCGTTTGTGAGAAGATTTCAGCCGAAAGGTCGTGGGGTGAAATGCCGTCGCCACGTGTGCCCAACGGGACATACCTGCAAAGCCGAATCAAGGCTCCAACACTGAAACAGAGTTTCGCGCAGCCAACTCACGAGACTCTGCAGCACGTCCCGCCCTAATGCTCTACAGCCGCGGGCCGCCACCCTTCGGAGCTCGAACAAATCTTTCACCTTGGCAAGAACTGCCGAATGCCAGCAGAGCCCTTCTATCAACAAGTTGACATCAAGAGCGTAGAGCTTGTCTGCAGGAGTTGCTGTTGCGGCATCGGTTGTCCCATCCACGTCGTTCGAAATTTCGTGGGTGCTTCCACCTCCAAAGATTCGGTTTATCCGACATGCGGTGGAGGTCAAGACTTTCGAGTATTCTTCCGTATTGCAGGGTTGTGACCGGGTTCTTCGTGGAAACTCAATGTCGGCGTGATGACCGGTAGCTTCCCACCGCGACGCCAGTCACCACCAGTGCGAATTTGATTGCTGCCACGTCCTACTTCAAGCCATGATAAGTCCAGTAGGAAGTGGGATGTGATTGGGTCAAATAATGTGATAGCAAGCGGGATTCGTCATACCGGGTTTGAGAGTACCATCATGATGTACAGGTCGTGGTCAAGTGGGTCGCCGGGTGGTGTCCTTTGACCGATCGTAGCAAAACAGTGGAGCAGGATGCCGTTCTTTGGGCAGGCCGAAAACCGGCAGGCCGAACAACAGTTCGCCTTCCCTCCATTCTGTCTATTGCTAATGGACTGCTACTCTGCGCCCCCGTGGTTTTCGTGCCTGTGTGAGCACTGTAGAGGCAAGCCTGTGTAGCGAATGCAAGCTGCAGTGTTTGGCTCAGCCGGCCTTGTCCACCCTCGGGGTTGTGGTGAGTATGCTGGGCATGCTGAGACGCTCCCAGGCGCAAGTCTACTAGTTTATGCCTTGTCGAGAAAGTCGAGGTGGCTCCATTCATGTCCAACCCTGGCCTATGTGTCCCTCATTTTCCATCAAAAGGCTGTGCTTTCAACTACGTACCATCTGGCAGGCGCGCTTGGCGCTTCGCTCGGCACCGCGGCGTGGAGGCTTCGGGTCGCCAAAGGATCATGAGCCTGCGGGGGGCTCAGTTTCGGGGCCCACGCAATGTGGGCCGTTTGGGATCTCTTTTGTCGTGAGCATTGGTCGATTGCAATGCGCGACACTTGGTGAAAAGCAAGGTCCGGGGAAGCGAGCCATAATCCAGCGATATCTCCGAAGGTCTGACATATTGATACAATCTCAAAACTTCAAAAAATCGTATTGTTTAAGGTCGATGAGCACAGGGGGTATGAGGCTAGACATCCCTCCCACAAATCTGGCAAAGATCCGAAGTGCCGCCGACCTGCTCAAGAGGCACTTGGAGCCCAGGTCTTGTTTCCTGTCAAGAGGTCAATGTGATGCCTAAAGTTTTTCTGTGGCTGTCTTCTTTTGGAAGACTTACTTGCCTTGACCCTGACCCTGACCCTGCCCCGTAGAGTCATTCCTTCTTTCAGCCATGCCAGCAAAAGACAGTTCAAGTTGTTGCGGTCCTGCGATATCGATGAGGCCTGGATTGAGCGGTGGGCAGCCAATAGGCGCGAGGGCCAGGCCAGCTCGGGGTCTAATGGTTTGTCCTGGTAATGGGGTGTCCTGCTATAAGGCCCGTACGCGCACCCTTGCAGGACAACATGGATTGGTTTTTCCGCGCGTTCAACTCGACCCGCATATACGAGGCGGCGACATCTGCGACAGTTGCTTGCTTGATCGTGATCGCCCAAAGTGACCCACCCACCCACCCACCCACCC